CTGCCCACCCAGCCTTCAGACGGAGAAAAGGCGGGTGATCAGATCTATGTTCTGGCCAATGTCCCCCCTTTCTCCCCTCCCTTCCCTTTTCCCTCCCACTCTCCCTTCTCCGCCCCCCTCCTACCTCTGCTTCCCTCCGAATACAGCGCGAACTGGTCGGTGGCGACTGGAGGGCAAGGGACCTCCCCCGCCCCCCAGAACTGCCCACCCTGTGTGCACCCTCGTCGCAGCTGGCACCCTAACCCAGAGTCCAGCTCGCCCCGTCGCCTCAGCCCAGACCGCCAGCACAGTTATCTGCCTCCCCATCTGCACCCCGGGCCCAAGCCTCCCCCTCGCGGGCTCGCAGTCGACGCCCCTGGATCTTTCTCCTAAAATGGCTCCCGGGACACTGCGCACCAGCCCTGCGGCGGCTCAGGACCCAGGGCGACGGCGGCGGGCCCCCAGCCCGGCCTGCATGTGTCTGGGGGTACACACAATTCTCGCGCCTTCTCTCTGCAGGGGTGGGGCGCAGGCATCCCTCTACCCCCCAAATAAAGCCTGCCGACCGCCTGAGAGGCAAATGCGGAGGGCGAGCCATTCAAGTTCAACGACATGGCGCTGGCGGCTCGGGCCGGAGCCGCGCTCTGGCGGGGGAGGGTGCGCCATCCGCAGCGGCGCGCGGGTGTGTCGGGGAAACCGGCCGGCGGGCCCCCCACTTCGCGTCTGCACAGACCCCCGCCCCCACACCCAAGCCAGGGCTTTCGTTCTGGGCCGGGGCCGCTCAGCCCTTTGGCCCCAGCTCCCTCCTCGATCTTTACCCCCAAACCCAAAGACGACCTCACCCTCCCGACCCGCTCGTCCCGCTCGAGAACCTACCGTGAGGACCCCGCGCTGCGGCTTGGTCCCTGCTGCGCCGCCCCCCTCGAGGCGCGGGGAGCGCGCCGCACCCTCCCCGCACAGCCGGCAGCTCCGCGAGTGGCAGCGTTGCGAGCAGCGCCCGGGTGCGATGCGGTAATTTTGAGCCACCCAAGATAAGACACTAACTTGACCTTAACTTTGTCAGGGCGCCCCTGGTATCTGGAGAACGTGAACAGACACTGTCTGGCAGCTCTCGTAAAAGCTGACTGGGAAGGGATTCTGAGTCATTTCATTTATTGCCACTACAGTTCTGCAAGAAAGCTTTTCCTCCCTGCCAAACTTTAATTATTTATGCTCTTTTAGGAAACGAAAGAAGAGGAGAAACGCGGGGAAAACACCCAGAGCCAGTCCCTTCCTGCAGAGCCTTCGGAATGGGCTTCCTCAGTCAAGTGAGCAGGGAAGAAAATAAATGGGGGGGGATCACCTTTGTCCGAGGACGGTCGGACTGCGCCGGGCCCCCCACCCTCGCAGCCGCTAAGGTGGGTGGATGCAGCTGGGAGAGGCGGGGTGAAGGGGCACCCCCGCCCGAGGCACACGCAGGAATATTTACCGCGGTTCTGGGTTTCTCCCGACCAGCCCCGGCCTGCCGGAAGCCTCCCCAGCCCGCCTCCCCTGGGGAGAGCCCCCAGGCCTTAAAAGCGTCCCCAGCAGGCCCTCTCGGTTCCAGCGGGTTGAAGGCCAGACGAAGCTGGTTGGTGTTTTTTTTTCTCCTCGTTAAAAATCCTTTTTCTTGGTAAAGAGGCCTGCTTAGACTGTAGCATTTCGGAGAACGCATTTGTCTTCGTTCAGGGGATGTTGAGAACTCAGATTTCAGCATCCTTTCTCTCCGGCGTTTGTTTCTTATGGATTTCGCCGTGGTTTCAAATCCCTGCCGGGATTTCAGCTACGGCTAGGAAGGGAGAGAGGACACCGCCACACCACAGCCTTTGTATTTGTGCGGATCAGTGAAAACGATAGATTTGAAAAACATTGCGGAAGCCACGCGCGACAGACAAGATTCTACACTTAGAATAATTTCAGTCTCTTTGGGGAGTGGTCTCCATGGATATCTCCTCCCACCCCACACCCCAGACTAAAGAGCCTTTAATGGTATATATTGGAAAGAACCGGCTCCTGGTGCTGCCTCAGGTTCTGGGTTTAAGTCCAGTTTCCTGGTCCTTTACCCAGCCCTCTGAACCTGAGGTCTGAGTATGGCCTCCGCCTTTGTTTGGATGTTTTTAGACCCAGCTCCGGGTACCAACGCCTCCTGGGGAAACATTTCTAAAGATAGGGCCTCCACAGCCTCTCGACGCCTTTTTCCTCCGTTGTATTTTTTAAAGGAGCTGTTTTAAAAATATTTTTAAAGTACACATCAAGTTCGCTTGTGGGAAGGGGAATTAGAACCACTGAATATTCAGTACGAGAGATTTAGTGGTTTTGTTGATTGTCCCACTTGCTAAAAGCTAGCAGTTCTCTACTTTCCATCCCCGAGCTAGCTGGAGCTGGGGTCTGCAAGAGGACAGTGAATACAGCAGGCCTTTGCTTTCCTTGCCTGAGCTACAGGCTGAGGGCTTAGGGGTGCAGAGGCCACTTTTCCCAAGAGAGTTTGCTGGGCTGCAAGCAGAGGTGCCAGTATGGAGGTTTTGCACAGGGCATACATAGCCTTTTCCAGAGAAGCCTGACCAAAACATGGCAGGGATAGATGTCTGTATTGAGATCGGATGAACCTCATATCTTGGCAAACCCCCCCCCCCC